TAACAAAATTCTCGATCCCCTTGACTTTACAGATTATGATATGTGTGTTAACTGTATAAAGGGAAAACAAACCAACAAAAGGAGATTTCAAGCCAACAGGACTTCGGACGTCCTAGAACTTATACATACGGACATTTGTGGATCATTCCCTACGACTTCTTGAAATAGTCAACAATATTTTATAATATTCGTAGACGACTTTTCTAGGTATGGCTATATAAATCTCATTGATGAAAAATCATAGTCCCTGGATGTGTTCTAAAACTATAAAACTGAAGTTGAGAACCAACTAGGCAAAATGATTAAAAGCGTTAGATCTGACCATCGTGCTGAATAATATGGCAGATATGACGGTTCAAGTGAACAACATCCAGGATCGTTTGCTAAATTCCTAGAGGAATGCCCTAATATCCCACAATACACTATGTCGGGTTTGCCCACTATGAATGGTATTGCTGAAAAATGAAATAGAACGCTTAAAGACATGGTAAGGAATATGATTACCCATTCTACCTTGTCGAATCACTATGGGGGGAAGCTTTAAAGACCGTAGCTGATTACGCCCAAAGAATAACACAGTAATTGTAGCACAAACTCAGGGTGTCGATTCCACATGGAGATAGTAAAAATACTTAAAGGTTCGAAAAGTGAATGTTCTTTTAAAATCTCAAAATTTATTTGTTCGAATGAAATTGAGATCAAGTTTCAAATATTGAAAGAATGTATTTGTTGGAATGGTGTTAAAATCAAGTTTTAAAGAGTGAAGTTTTGGAATTCCCTCAATTGGATTGGATCATTCAGCATCAATAATTCATTTTTTATAATGCAATTAGAGATGTTCAAACTTGTTTCTCTAACCAAAAAATATGTCATTTAAACCTGTTTATTTAATTGTAATTCTAATGGTTAATCTTCCTGTTATAGCAAGCACACTTTTGTTTATTAAAATCAAATTCAAAAATAACCATATACTCAAGCATAAAGTAGTAATGAATCACACCAATAAATATAAATAAATGAGATTAAAGCCTAAACGAATACTTCAATCACCCGATAGAAAAAAGTGTGACTTATTCTATGTAAAATTTAATAAAAATTAAGTCAATCTCAAAACTACTTTATGAAAATGAAGTCTTAACCATTGAATTGTTTAAAACATGAAAATCAAAATTAATGAATCAAAAATTGTTGAAATCACCGAATCTAATTGGGTTCTTTCCTAACTTCACCAAGGTTTTTAGCTCTCATTGGAATTGTTAATCATCTCGTCTTGTTTATCAGCCTTGATTTCTCCTCAAAAACTCTTAATCATCTCTTCTCTCTGGATGGATCTAGGTCTT